AAACCTTCAATTTTCTTTCTAAATATAGCCTTTTTATCATATATATGCATTAATTTGCTGCATTCATTTAACCTTGATTTATGTAAGTTCTAATCTATATAATACCCGAGAATTATAAAGCATTTAGCTTATATTAAAATATTCTATTTCGATATTAAGGGTGCTACCATGGTCATTTTTCCAAAATACAATATAAAAACTTTCTGTTATTGTATTCAAAAGTATAATATCGATTATATTTACGCAGCACCGCCTATTATACTTGATCTTGTAAATGACCCAGATACTAAAAAGTATGATTTGTCGAGTGTGAAAATGGTTGTATCATCTGCAGCCCCGTTAGGTTATGAATTAGCACATATGTTTTATGAGCTCTTTAAAATACGAGTCAAACAGGCATATGGTAAAATTCATATTCTGATTTTTATTTAACGCTTCCTAAAAATTTATGTTAACCAAAATTAATTCATTCTTAATTTATATATCAAAGGACTAACTGAAGCATTAGTAATATGTTACTCTGATTCAAATAATATAATTGCTGGTGGGTATAATTAATTAAATTATAGTTTTAGTACTGATAATGCAAAGTTTCTCATTATTACTTATTTTTTAATACACAAAAAATAGGTTCCTGTGGGATTCCCCTCCCAAATATGAAACTAAAAATATTATCAAATGATGGTCATGGTAATTTATACTCATCTTTTCTCATTTATTCGATAAGCAAAATTTAACGATATTTTCATATTATAGAATTAGGTCCAAACGAGCATGGAGAATTATGTGTTTATGGTCCAACAATAATGAAGGTATGACGAGATCATTACATGATTATATAATATTGCTACAATTAATAATGTCTATCATTTATTGTATAGAGTTATCTCAACAAATCAGAAGCTGCAAATGCTTCCTTTGACAATGATGGATTTCTTCATACGGGAGACATTGCATATGCTGATGACCGAGGTTCTAATTGTGTTTATTTCAATACTTGAATAATTATATCAGTTACGGAATATATAACAATTATATTGTCGTATACAGGAAATTATTATATTGTTGACCGAAAGAAAGAATTAATTAAATATAAGGTACAGTGAAATCTTCTCAAATGCATTCTCTCTAAATTCATAATCTCTCTAAATGCACTTTCAAATTCTGGCCCAAACATATGCCTGACTTATTATTCTCTAAATGCATATGCACGCATATGTTCCTTATAAGTGCACCTAGAGAGGTCTAGCCTTACTTTTAAATATTTCTTTTATTAATATGGTCATTATATTAATTAAAATTTTCAATATGTTCTTAATTTAAATTTTTATACAATAAGGGATTTCCTGTGGCCCCAGCTGAATTAGAATCGATTTTATGTACACATGACAAGATATTTGATGCCGCAGTCATAGGTTGCTATTCCGAGAAAGATCAAACTGAACTTCCTATAGCATATATCGTACTTAAATCTGAAGATAATGAAAACAAACAATCTCTTAAATACGACATAATACAATATGTAAACAGTAAAGTTTCTCCGCACAAAAAAATAAGAGACTTGCTATTTATTAATAAAATTCCAAAAAGCGAATCAGGAAAAATTCTTAGGAGAATGTTAAGAGAATTTATTTTGGCTGAATATGTCGAGGACCAAGGTAATTTTAATTATTTAGATTAATTTTTAATTTAAACTATAATTAATTATTATGTTTTAGGAGATTATTTTATCACCGGTAGAAAGTATGAGCTAATCAAATATGAGGTATAATTCAATTCCACTTTTTCACATATTCAACGAGCACAGCTTTGTTTGATTTTGTAGATAATATTCTATTGTCTATTTATTTATTTATTTCACAAGTGTAAGGATCATATACAGTTGCGAAAGAGTACCTTTAAAGTAATACATAGTAAATATAATGAAAAATATCAACCATATTCAAGAAACAACATTTCAAAAGCTTCGTGTCATACATATGACCCTAAAGAATGGACAAATGAAGTTAAGAGCATTTGTGATTTGGAATACTTTAAAAAACTTCAACCTAAAGCAACTAAGCATGATGATACGATTGAATAGATTCCTTTCGATAAACTTAATAATATTCAAAAGATTGGGAATGAATTTTACGCAATTTGGTCAGAGGGTATACATATAGTTTCTGGTGGATTTATAAAATGTACGAGACTACGTTCGCGTCCATATAAAGTGAAACTCAAAACTATAACCAAACCGAACTTAAAAGAAATTTCAGATTCTCTGAATTTGAAGGAAATTTTAGATTCTCAGAATTTAAAAGAAATTTTAGAGGTAATAATTATTATTATTTACTATTTATTATTTTCGATTTTATTTTAATTAAGAATATGCACTTATATTTCGTTTTATAATTCAAATTATAAGTTTAAAGGTCTTAAACACTCCGAGGATGGAAATTTTAAAATATATGGACTAACTAAAAACCCTAACACTGATGAGTATTTGATAGTGTTTGATGAATTTGGCTCCAAAAGAAACATAAAACATGGGGCATGTGAAAGTTGCGATAGGTTTAATACTTCTCGTGCCTGGTGTTATACATGTGATCCACTGAAAAGAACTCGAGGATGGACAAGTGGAAACGAAATTCTTGATGATGGTATCAAAGAATTTCAACTTAAAGTAGAAAACTATGAAGATGTAATTGAATGGATTCTTTTTGATAAACTAAACAAAGATGAAGTCCATAAAATTGATGATATATTTACAGCAACTTGGATGGATGGAATTCCTATGATTTCAAATGAAGGTCATAAATGGACACAATCACGTTCGCAACCATATAGGGTAACCGTCAAAACTCTAACTGGTTCACAGGATCCTTCATTTATTTTAAGAGAAGTATGTTGATAGTTTCATTAATTTTTTACTACAAATAGAACTATGAATTTATAGATTTATTTATAAGCTTATTGTGTATATTATATTGTTTATTACATTAGTTCAAAAATAATATGCAATTAGGAAATGACGAGCTTAAAGTATATGGAATTACCCAAAACCCATATACTAATAGGTATATGCTTGTATTTGAAGAATTTGGTCTCAAAAGATGTAAAGAACATGGAACTTGTAAATATTGCAACAGATATAATACTTCTCCTGCCTGGTGTCAAACATGCGATCCTCAAATAGTAATTCAAGGATGGACGAGTGGGAATGAAAATGTTGATAATTGTATTAAAAAATTTCAACTTAAAGGGTCAAGATACGATGAAGTTATCGAGTGGATTCCTTATGACGACTTAAATGTCGGTGAAGTAATTGGTAAAGGAGGGTTTGGTGTAGTATATTCAGCGATATGGAAAACAGGAAAAAGATATATTTCTTATGATCATGTTGTTATACATACACAGAAACGTACGCCACCATATATTGTTGCACTTAAGAAATTACCTGTTTCCCAAAAGAATTTTTTAAAAGAGGTATGTACGTAAGTTAAATTGTTTCCTAATTTAATATAGATTATTTACTAATATAATTATTTATAAGTTTGAAAGTCTCATGCAAACTAGATTTGCTGGTAACAAGCTTGAGGTATATGGGTTAACTCAAGATAATAGGACTAAAGAATACATGATGGTATTTCAATATGCAAATGGTGGAAATCTTCGCAAGTTTTTAGAAAAAAATTTTACAAAACTTACATGGGAATGCAAGTGGAGACAACTCTTATTTATCTCATGGGAATTAGTACAAATACACAAAGCGGGATATATACATCGTGACCTTCATAGTGGTAATATATTGATAAAGGAATATGCTAATGGGCTTCTAGAAACGTATATTGCAGATTTGGGATTGTCTAGAAATAAAGAAGAATCAATTGAAGAAAAAGGTGTTTACGGTGTATTGCCTTATATTGCACCAGAAGTGCTTTGTAAACGTTTATATACTGTGAAGATGGACATTTATAGCTTTGGTGTTATTATGGCCGAAATGTCTACAGGGAATCCTCCTTATTATGATCTTGAATATGATTTATCTTTAGTTCTC